CAGCAGGGTATCACAGTAGATTATGGCCCACCAGATGTCCATCAACAGGAGACGAATAAAGCACAGCTCAGTCATGTACGGCAGTGCTCCCTAGCCGCTCTGAGGAAGGAGGCGGCTTTGTGTGTCTGATGTGAACTGATCCCCGAGCTACCCTGAGCAATGCTGTGTGCAGGGGATGCACCCAGTCGGCTTCTTTCAGTTGGGTGAGGGTTTCATGAGTTTTTCCTTTATTGTTCTTGTAATTGTACATATAGGTTTTATACACGCTTCTATGTGTGTATTACACACACACACCACACACACACACACAGAGCAAGGTATAGCACAGTGGGAAAGCATTCTAAATAGGATTTAAAACGGACATGCTGACCAGGCGCAGTGGTTCATGCCTGCCATCTCAGCACTTTCGGAGGCCGAGGCAGGCAGATCACCTGAGGTCAGGTGTTCAAGACCAACCTGACCAACATGGTGAAACCATGTCTCTACTAAAAATACAAAAATTAGCCAGGCGTGATGGCACATGATTGTGGTACCAGGTACCCGGGAGGCTGAGGCAGGACAATCGCTTGAACCTGGGAGGCAGAGGTTGCAGTGAGCTAAGATCATACCACTGCACTCCAGCCTGGGCGACAGAGCAAGACCTTGTCTCCAAAAAAAATAAAGAACACGCTCACAGGTGAGTGAGTCTTCCCCCTACTAAGGCTCCGGGGACTGCCCATCCACGGCTGCCGGAGAGAGACCCTCAAGCCTCCTGATACAAAGACACAACTCCTGCGCGCAGTGGCCTCACCAAAAGTCAAACTTGATTCTCATGAAGCCTCCAGGTCAGGGTTCCTCAATCTCAGCACTATTGACAGTTAGGCCAAATAAGTTTTTGTTTTTCTGTGCATTGTAGGCTGTTAACAGCATCCCATGGCTCCACCCGCCAGATGCCAGCAGCACTCCCAAGTTGTCACATCCCAAAATGTCTCAAGACAATGCCAAATGTCCCCGGGGCTGGTGGGGGGCGCTAAACTGTCCCAGATGAGAGTCACTGCTACAGATCCAAATACTAATGTACAAAAAACTCAGACGGCAGAGGAGCATGTTTAAAATAAAATTTTAAGGCTGGGTGCAGTGGCTCACGCCTATAATTCCAGCACTCTGGGAGGCTGAGGCAGGTGGATCACTTGAGGTTGGGAGTTCAAGACCAGCCTGACCAACATGGAGAAACCCCGTCTCTACTAAAAGTACAAAATTAGCCGGGTATGGTGGCGCATGTCTGTAATCTCAGCTACTCGGGAGGCTGAGGCAGGAGAATCGCTTGAACCCGGGAGGCAGAGGTCGCGGTGAGCCGAGATCGTGCCATCGCACTCCAGGCTGGGCAACAAGAGTGAAACTCCGTCTCAAAAAATAATAATAAAATAAAATAAAATATTTAAAATCCAGAAGGTAGGAAATTCTGTAAGACAAACAACAAATAAACTGCAATGGGAAAAAAAAACAAGAGATGGGTGAGGAGTATCCATGAAACAACAGGAAATTTAACCATTTGCTAGATGCTTGATATTAAAATAAAAGATTAGGTTGGCTGGGCACGGTGGCTCACGCCTGTAATTCTAGCACTTTGGGAGGCCAAGGAGGGTGTATCACAAGGTCAGGAGATCGAGACCATCCTGGCTAACACGGTGAAACCACGTCTCTACTAAAAATACAAAAAATTAGCTGGGCGTGGTGGCGGGCACCTATAGTCCCAGCTACTCCGGGAGGCTGAGGCAGGAAAATGGCATGAACCTGGGAGGCAGAGCTGGCAGTGAGCCGAGACTGTGCCGCTATACTCCAGCCTGGATGACAGAGAGCAAGACTCCGTCTCAAAAAAAAAAAAAAAGATTAGAAGTGCTAATGGTATTCTGGTCATTTTTAAAAGTCTCTACTTATAGAGATACAAATTGAAATATTTATGGATAAAATGCTATGTATAGTGGGTTAAATGGCAGCCTCCCTCAAAAATGTGTTTGTATCTTGGAACTTGCGAACATGATCCTATTTGGAAAAAAGGTTTTGTAGATATAATTACGTAACTACGTGAAGGATCTCAAGACAAGATGATCCTGAGTATCCGAGTGCGACCTAAATCCAATGAGAAGCACCCTTCGACGAGACACACGGAGGAAAGGCTGAGGGAAGACGGAGGCAGAGACTGGAGTGACGCAGCCACAAGCCAAGGGAATGCCTGGAGCTGCCAGGAGCAGGAAGAGGCCAGGAATGACCCTCCCCTGAGCCCAGTGAGGAGCACAGCCCTGCCGATGCCTTAATCTCGGACTTCTGGCTTCCTGAGCTGGGAAGGAACAAATTTATACTGTCCTAAGCCCCTCAGTTTGTGGTCATTTGTATGACATCCCCAGGAAACTAGCACAGATTCATTGTACGTGGGATTTGTTTCAAAATGACCCAGGGGTGGGAAAGTGACCAGCAGTGGAGATAATCCAAGATTGACCAGGGGCTGATCAATGTTGGAGCTGGCGATGGGCACATGGGAGTTCATCATACTGTTCTCTGTACTCTTGCATATGTTTGAATTTCCCATGACAAACTTTTTTCCTCTATGAAAAATTTAAGGTTGGCCGGGAGCGGTGTCTCACGCCTGTAATCCCAACACTTCGGGAGGCCAAGGCGGCAGATCACGAGGTCAGAAGATCAAGACCATCCTGGCTAACACGCTGAAACCATATCTCTACTAAAAATAAAAAAAAAAAAAAAAAGCTGGGCGTGGCGGCAGGCACTTGTAGTCCAACTACTCGGGAGGCTGAGGCAGGACAATCGCTTGAACCTGGGAGGCAGAGGTTGCAGTGAGCTAAGATCATACCACTGCACTCCAGCCTGGGCGACAGAGCAAGACCTTGTCTCCAAAAAAAATAAAGAACACGCTCACAGGTGAGTGAGTCTTCCCCCTACTAAGGCTCCGGGGACTGCCCATCCACGGCTGCCGGAGAGAGACCCTCAAGCCTCCTGATACAAAGACACAACTCCTGCGCGCAGTGGCCTCACCAAAAGTCAAACTTGATTCTCATGAAGCCTCCAGGTCAGGGTTCCTCAATCTCAGCACTATTGACAGTTAGGCCAAATAAGTTTTTGTTTTTCTGTGCATTGTAGGCTGTTAACAGCATCCCATGGCTCCACCCGCCAGATGCCAGCAGCACTCCCAAGTTGTCACATCCCAAAATGTCTCAAGACAATGCCAAATGTCCCCGGGGCTGGTGGGGGGCGCTAAACTGTCCCAGATGAGAGTCACTGCTACAGATCCAAATACTAATGTACAAAAAACTCAGACGGCAGAGGAGCATGTTTAAAATAAAATTTTAAGGCTGGGTGCAGTGGCTCACGCCTATAATTCCAGCACTCTG